CATTCAGTCACAAAGCACTTGTTCATGTGGCCACACAAGTTCTAGTGATGAGCTTAAAGAGCTGAAGAACCAGATCCAGCAACTCCAATGCCAGATGTCATCCTTCCTGAAAGCCCAGAAGAAAATCGAGTCAAGGCCAGCACCACGCCAGTCCAGCTGCCCTTCACCTCAGTCATCAAACCATCCAAAACCTTGGTATTGCTTTAACAGTGGTGAGGATGGACATATCTCTTCAACCTGTAAGAAAGCATCAAACTCCCGCCTGGTTGACCAAAAGAAAAAACAACTGCGGCAAAAACAACAAGCATGGAACACAAAGCAGAATCAGTCAAATTAGCAGCAGCTTCTGTGACGGGACACCCAGGAGCTGCAACTAAAAGCTGTCCTAAAGAACCACCCAGACTGCCAAGAGGCCTTGTGGGGACAAAATGTACTGGCCAAATACAAATAAAAGGAAATGCATTCAACTGTCTTTTTGACACTGGCTCCCAGGTCACAACAGTGCCACATTCCTTTTATAATGCACATCTCAATGACCATACGATACAACCTCTGAACAACATCCTTGAAGTAGAGGGGGCCAACGGACAATGTGTGCCATATTTGGGCTACATTGAATTAAACATTACATTTCCACCTGAGTTTCTGGGTACCACCATCTCCATAGATACATTAGCACTAGTGGTTCCAGACTTAAAGCAGTCCCAACCCTTAATTCTGGTTGGTACTAACACACTGGATTTGGCCTATAACCAGATTCAGGACAAAAATTCCAGTCAGCTTTGTCAGCCTGTTACTTCAGGTTACCAAGCTGTTGTCCAGATTCTTCATCATCGCCAGAGGTGTAATTTGGATGGCAATTATGTTGCTTTGCAGCTTCCCGAGGCATACATCATCTCTGCTGGCCAAACAACTGTCCTTGAGGGTACCCTGGCCACTCGGTCACTGCAAGGAGAAAAATCTGTTCTAATTGAACATCCAACTTCATGCACCCTGCCTGGTGGTCTCATAGTCAAGACATGTCTTGCTGACTTGTCACCTCGCCAGCCATGCCAATTGATATTGATTACAAACGAGTCTGAACATGCCATTTCCATCCCAGCATGAACAACCATTGCAGAAGTCAGGGCTTTCCAGACCATTTATACCAACCAACAAAGCAGCTATTCAATTCAATCTACAAATAGCTCATCATCATTTCAGTATGACTTTGGAGACTCCCCATTAACACCTGAGCGGAAACAGCGAATCACAGACCAGCTCAACAGCATTCCTGAAGTTTTTGCAAAGCATGACCTAGACTTTGGCAGGACAGATAAAGTTAAGCATCATATTAACCTGTCTGATCCTAGTCCTTTCAAACAGCGGCCCAGGCCAATTCATCCTCAGGACATTGAAGCTGTAAGACAACATCTACAGGAGCTGTTGGAGTCTGGAGTAATCCGTGAGTCAGAATCACCATTTGCATCCCCCATAGTAGTTGTGTGTAAAAAGAACGGGAGTATCAGGTTGTGTATAGACTACAGAAAACTCAATTTGCAAACTATCAAAGATGCCTACCCTCTGCCCAAACTCGAGGACACTTTCTCTGCCCTGTCTGGATCTACCTGGTTTTCAGTTCTTGATTTAAAATCTGGTTATTATCAGATTGAAATGGAGGAGTCTGATAAGGCAAAAACTGCTTTTGTCTGTCCTCTAGGTTTCTATGAGTTCAACAGGATGCCGCAGGGAGTGACAAATGCTCCAAGCACGTTCCAAAGACTCATGGAGAGATGAATGGGAGAGATGAACCTAAAAGAAGTCCTGGTTTTCATCGACGACCTCATTGTTTTCGCACCAACTCTCGAAGAACACGAAAAAAGACTGTTAAAGGTCTTAAATCGACTGAAAGAATTTAGTCTGAAATTGTCAGTTGAAAAATGCACCTTCTTTCAGACATCAGTCAAATATCTCGGACATGTTGTTTCTAAAGAGGGCATAGAAACGGACCCTGACAAAATCAAGACTCTTACTACATGGCCAGTCCCCCAAAACCTAAAAGAACTACGGTCGTTTCTTGGATTTGCTGGATATTATCGGAGGTTTGTGCAAGGATACTCCACCATCCTTAAACCCCTTCATGATCTCACCGCCGGTTACCCTCCAGCACAAAAAAAAACTAAAACCAAAAATAAAGTCTAACACATATTTAAACCCTAAAGAACCATTTGGAGGCCGTTGGTCAACAGAGTGTCAAGAAGCATTTGAAACTATCTTTGCAAAACTCACCTCTGCGCCATCTTAGCCTTTGCAGATTCCCAGAAGCCCTACATATTGCATACAGATGCAAGTTCCACTGGTCTTGGAGCGGTCCTCTACCAGGAACAAGAGGGAGTTAATAAAGTTGTGGCTTATGCCAGCCGAGGACTTTCCAAGAGTGAAGCAAAATACCCTGCTCACAAAATGGAATTCCTGGCTCTCAAATGGGCTGTCTGTGAAAAATTCCATGATTATTTGTATGGGGCAGAATTTACTGTTGTAACCGACAGTAATCCATTAACATACCTCTTCACATCTGCTAAACTTGATGCCACAAGTTATAGATGGTTATCAGCACTGTCTACTTTCAATTTTAAAATTGTTTACAGAGCTGGTAAACAGAATGCCGATGCTGACGGTTTGTCCCGTAGACCCCATGGTGAATTGATTAATGATTCTGTTTCCAAGAAGGAACAAGAACGTATACTCAAATTCACCCAAACACATTTAGATGACTCGGCATGTGTACTTCTCAACTCACAGACCATTAGTGCTCTCTTCAACCGTCATTTGCTTTTTAGTCCAGACGCCGATCCTGACCATTCCCTGGTTTTGTCGCTGTCTGTACATTCTGACAGTGTGCCAGACAGTTTCACAGATGACACACAGTTCACCTCTTCTGTACTTCCACAACTCTCTGCTGCTGAACTTGTGTCCAAACAACGAGCTGATCCAGTCATTCAGCATATTATTGCACAACTGGAGCACGGAGAATCTGTACCACCACTGCTCAGAGAGCAACTCCCAGACCTACCTCTTTTACTGCGAGAAGTAAATAAAATGGAGCTCCGTAACAACCTTCTCTTCAGAAGAAGACAGGTGGGAGAAAAGTACCAACTTGTGCTGCCGGAAGAGTACCGAGCTGATGTCTTAAATCAATTACATAACCAAATGGGACACCTAGGCTCTGAAGGAACACTGGACCTCGTTCGTTCCCGGTTCTACTGGCCACGAATGGCTGTTGACATAGCAACTAAAATAAAAACCTGTGAAAGATGTATAAGCCGTAAGTCCCTTCCTGAACGTGCTGCACCTCTCGTGAACATCCAAACAACCCGTCCTCTTGAGCTGGTCTGCATAGACTATCTGTCTGTAGAACCAGATGGTCGAGTCAAAGACATTCTAGTTATGACAGATCACTTCACAAAGTACGCCGTCGCTGTGCCAACTGCAAATCAGAAAGCTACAACTGTCGCCAAGTGTCTCTGGGATAATTTCCTCGTGCATTATGGAATACCAGAGCGGCTTCTGAGTGACCAAGGTGCAGACTTCGAATCAAAGATCATTAAAGAACTTTGTGAAATGGCTGGAATCAATAAAGTCCGAACCACTCCTTACCACCCAAGAGGAAACCCTGTTGAGCGGCTCAACAGAACTTTACTAGACATGTTGGGAACTCTAACCGATCAGGAAAAGTGTCACTGGAAAGAGTTTGTAAAACCCCTGGTGCACGCTTACAACTGCACCAAGAATGACTCTACTGGGTTCTCACCATACGAACTGATGTTCGGCCGTCAACCGAGGCTTCCTGTTGATCTAGCCTTTGGACTACCATTGACTGATGATGAGCCTGAATCTCATTCCCAATACGTTCAGAAACTAAAATCTCATCTTGAAGACAATTATAAACTGGCAATCAACAACTCAAAGAAACTAATGGAACGAAACAAACTGCGCTTCGACCGCCATATAACTGCTTCTGAACTGGCTATTGGGGACAGAGTTCTGGTGAGAAATGTACGGTTAAGGGGTAAACACAAGCTGGCTGACAAATGGGAACGCGAAATATACATTGTAACAAAGAAAGCAGAAAACCTTCCAGTGTATACAGTGAGACCTGAAGGTAAAGAAAAACCTTTAAGGACTCTACATCGAGACCTACTGCTGCCATGTGGATACTTGTCTGCAACAGTACCTATGAAACCTGAAAACAATGCTAGAAAGCCTCACCCCTCTTCTCCAACAGATCCTGTTGAAGATATGGAGGATGATTATGACGATGACTTAGTTCTGCATATACCTGTTATGCCTGAACCATTGAAATTTTCTACTGTTATTGAAATCCCGCCTAACCCACAGTCTTCTCATACAACTGAATTGCCTGTTAATCCTGAGAATACTGAACCTGCAACTATGGAAACAGAACCTTCCACAATGGAACCTGAGCCTTCAGCTGCAGAGGATGCAGTGGAAGTCGTCGCTGACCACAGTGAGGTTCAATCTGATCAGACTATGCCTGTTGAAGCCTCCTGTCCAGAAGGAAACTCACCTTCTTTGGAGCCCTCCAGCGAAGACCTAGGAAGTGACCCACCTGAACATACTGAACCAACCTTTCACCGTCCAGTCCGTAAAAGGAATCCACCAGATAGACTCCAATATTCTAAACCCGGCCATCAGCTCATGAAAAGCATCCAAAGCCTTTTCCATGGGTTGAGCTCCATGTTCACCGTCGCCCTTCTGGAGGACAAGGAAGATGTGGTCTTTGGATCGTATCAGCCAGTCATCAGCTGTCAGCCGAGTCCATGTCCGAGGACGTACATGAGAAAAAGGGGGGAAAGTGTAACCCACAGCACATAAGGCCCTACTTCCGGGTTCAATCTGAGTAGTGCGCCCTGTCCCTTTAAAAAGGGGGCGGATGGCGGACCCCTGACCCTAACAGATTGCTCCACAGATGCTACAGCCAATGCTGCTCCTCGCTGTGGCTTCTCTGTTTTTGAAAAAAAAACCCGCCTTGACACTCCACCGCTGCTTAATTTACTCTGATGCCTTCACCATAGATCACTTTAGCTTCTTACAACTCGGTAAGTTTGTTTTCATCTATTGGCTCATGCTTGATTGTTCATTCAAACTTACTGATAACTTAAATAATACCGCAGATTTACAACTCATAACCTGGTGGACATTCCCTATATGCTCTCTCAAATCATCTACTCATCGGTGAGTTAAAGTATATTATTTTTATTCCTTATTTTGAGTTTGTGATGCTGCAGTACACCGGTTGCATGCTATGCTAACATGGGTAGTTAATATAGCTCCCAGACACGCCCACAGCTTCACGCAGACTTTATTTTTTTTATTAATTCAGAGGGAAACTTTTCCCCAACCAAGAAGCAGTAAGATTTTTTTCCCAAGCAGTAAATGTATTGGTCATACATTATTTTATGCTTTGGGTTAATTATAGAACTTTGTTTGGAACTTTTCCAGCCTTAGAAGCCATGGTTCTTTTTTGTTTAAATAGATCTGATTGTTTATTGATATGTTTTGCGCAATACAAATAAGATTGAACTGTTGAAATAATTTGGGTTTTTGTTGACCCATGATTTCATTTTTGAATGATAAGTGCACTTTAATTTAACTTGAGATATTTAGAAACATTGAAGCTTCATAAAGAAATCTTGTTTATTTAAATTATTCGATGTGTCTTAGTGCTGTGATTTATGGCATAACTAACTGACTTATTGTTTTTATTTATTGCTAAGATTAAATTTATTGTTTATTATTTTACTAATTTATGATTCTGGCCTGATTTCAGGTCAGGTTTTTTTGTTGTGTGCTGTTCCTTTGACTGTCCATTGGGTGACGAGCTACCAGAGAACCACCTATACAGTGTGGTAGGAAAAAGTTCTCACAAACCTGGATCCTCTGATTTTGTTTTCCCAATGGACCTCATGAACTGTGAACCTTTAACTAATTGAACTGAAGAGTTAAATTTTTTTTTTTTTTGCTCTTTTGAATTATCCTGTTGGAATATATTTGTTTTTTTTTTTTTTTTTTTTTCTTTGAAATTATATTGATTATCACATTTGTGTGTATATTCTATTAATTCATATCCATATAAATTATATAATATAGCTCATTAACATGTATATGTAACCCATACTCTTTCTATTAGAAAATAAATATACAACTATTAATCATAATTTTCTTTCTTGTGCTTATTCACACCCCTTGACTCTTCAGCCGAATCTACTTCTGAGCTCATTTTGCAGTCAGCCAAGCCCAAGTGTTACATTTAGGATTGTTCAAACAGGATCAGATGACCAAAAGTAACAGTTAGATGATGTATTTGATGCCACAAATAAAATCTACAGTATTTGACATTCTGGTAGTGCATGTGAGCCTTATTTTTTCTTTTTCTTTTGAATTTTTAACAAGTTGAAATCAAATGTATAACATTGAAAAAACCTTTTGCATAAATGAAGACCCTTACAGAACGTTGGAACTTTTCTTATTCATTCAAAAAATATTCCAAGTTTTACACTTTGAACTTAAGAAGACAGGTTATGGTCTTTGAATTACACTTCAGAGGAATTTCCTTCACAAAAAAATACAACACAAAGATGAAACAATCTAAGCTCTCTCTACTCACAGGAAAAAAAGAAAAAAAAAAAACACTCAAAAGGGGTAAAGATGAAAGATGAGTGAAGTAAAATGTAATTTGAATTTTCCTGGAAACAGAGCTAGGAGAGAGAAAAAAAATATCTAATATCCTGAAGCTCGTTTTTAAAGTAAACAAATCTTGCATTGTTTGAGAATATTTCACTGAAAAAAGCAAGGCTGCAGACAGGAGAGTAGGAAGCTTCCTCTCGAGGTAAAAATAAGTACCTGTGCGTCATTTGTTTGAAACATTGCAGGGCTGGCGTTCCAGCATGCCGTAATTACAGGAAATTGTGTATGAAGGACTCTAAACACTGTAAATGGTGTACTTTCAATGATTGGCTTCATTCTGTTAAGTCTCATTTTAGTAGGTAGCAAAACAAAACTGGTATTAATTTGTGCCATTTGTCTGCAGCATTATCTCTCGCAACATTCAAAATCATCCTCACACACTTGCTTTGATAAATCACTAGAGAAAAACTTTGTTGAGGTTTTACACACAGGATATATATTATGCCATCAAACTATTTGAGATGGAACAGTAAATCTAATAAAAATTAAGTTCAGAACCTGGTCTGTGAACACTTCATCACTGGTCAAGAGGCTACAGAAGCCTTTGTACTTCCTGCAGAGAATGAGGAGAGCCCACCTGCCCCCACCCATCCTCATGACCTACAGAAGCATCATAGAGAGCGTTCTGACCAGCTGTCATTCTCACCAACTCTGCCTTTTTTATGCACTCTCTGCCTACAAAATGACAAAGTTTGTATAAGTCATCAGGACTTTGCAGATGTTTAATTGGTAAATTTCAAAGTATTTGACTTAACAAGAGACTTTCCTATGTATTTCTGTTAAGGCGAGCCCAAAACTCAGCATTTCCCTTTGGGAAATCATCTGACAGAAAATCTGACAAGACCTAAGTGAGATAATTGTAGACCTAAAGAAATGTAGTTCATAAAGTATGTCTGGGAACCATACTAATGAAGAAGGAAATATGTCCTGTGTTCCAGAGTTTAATGGGATTTTAAGTATTAAATTTGAATTTCAAGCATAAAGTAACAGAAAAACATTCAGAAAAGTCTGGTAAAACAGTGTCATTATCTACAGGGGAATACGTTTTTTTTGACAATCTGTATTTAAGGTCAGTCCAGAGGGAATGACTACAATGGCAACATAGAAAGCCAAAGAGTGGTGTTAAGAGAAAATATTTGTATGCTGTATGTATGGTCGCTGAGGGGTGAAAATACCATGCATTACATTAATTTACAGCAAATACAAATACTGTAAATACAAAAGTTAGAATAATCAGAAACCTAGCGCCGGCCAAGAGCTCACAAAACCAAAATTTTATTATAGCCCACCACAATTACAATGAAATAGCACCAGATGCCAGTAGAAACCACAACAACATACACTTTTATAGTTGCACTGTTCTTTTTTCTGAGATGAAATTGTGGATTTTGACAAAACAGATGTAATAGCAGCAGCTATGCATACAGTACGTCCTCCTGCAATGTCGTGTTTATTTTTGATTGTTTGTGGATCCAGCAGCTCTTGCTTTCGTTACAGTTGTATATCAAACCAAACCTTTAAACCATCATACTGCTACTGTATGATTGGCCAACCTGTTTTTAGTCTCAGATTGTCTAAGCTGGAGGGATAAAAGATGGATTGTTGTGAGTTTGTGAATGCACAAATTTGATGGGAGTTTAGCCTGCCGGTAAGTTTGTGTATTTGAGTCTGCTCGTTTAACTCTGTGGATGGTAAAAATATTTCAGTTATCTACAGTATAACAAGAATTATATATTGATTCAGTTTATTCTACCTGCAATAAAAATCAAACCTAATTATTATAAATATAGTTAATACAATTGAAAAAAACAGATTTCTTTGGTTTATTGGATTCTATTTTCATAGTAAAGGAGGATGTATTTTGCACCAGACCAAATGGGTAATGTACTATGTTCCACAGCTGCAGGTGTTGTTTCTGTATGTCATTCACCCTTAACAAAAGTGGATTATGATGTCTAACAAAATACCACAGAAGAAGGTTCGTTTCCTGGGGGGATGAGATGAAATCTATTAGAAATGACAGAATCAAAGACTATTAGAAATGTACTTCTGCCTTATCTACAATCACAATTTTGTGCAAATTCCAACAGTACCCCCCACAAAAAATGAAAGCAAATGAAGATCATCTTAACTGTACTCTAAATAAACGTTTGCAAAGTAACACTAGAGAGGATGACACAAAGGTCATCAGACACAAACTGTTTTGTTTTGCTCTTTATATTTTTGCTATATATTTCTAACACCTACAAATAAAAACACGCCAGATGTTTCATGATCTCTAGTTTCTGTTTTATTTATTTAATTTAGAAGGAAACATTTTAAAGTTATGAAACTAGTATGACTGGGAAAGCCAAACATTCTTCAGTCTTAGCTTTAATCAGCTGAAAGCAGAAAGGCTCATGATTTAAACCCAGCAAGCTTTATTACAAACAGTACAGCAGCAGTGATTCCTCTTCAACAGGCAATCAAAGAGTTTGTAGGGCAAACATTGCAGTTTTTACAGTTTTTTTCAAGCTTTATGTAAAAAGAAAATACAATTTGAACTGTACAGACAGAAAATGTGGAAAAGGGGGCCAGATGGCAGAAATGTCGTTCATAGTTTTTTAATGAGCTCTTTATATTAAATTTAGCTTTTTAGCTGAAACTTATTTAACCTGTTGAAGCTGATAGTAATTTCAGTTTGCCTGACAACACAAAGTGACTGGGAGGCCTATTGATCAAAATTAAATTGAATTAATATTTTTTAATCATTTGCAAAAGGTGCATTTAAATGATAACCATAGCATTAATTTTAGTTGAAAAGTTTGCTCAAAGCATAAAGCTGTAAATATTGCAGATCTTGTTTGTGCATGCAGATTTAGCGTGCAATGCATGTTTGCAGTTTTCAGAAAAAGCAAATGGTGTGACTGCTGGTTTAACAACCGCCTTTCAAGCATGCACAGAGATTTCTATTTTGCCTTAAGATATAGTCTCCAGTGTTAACATTGCAACAGAAATTTTTTTTTATTTCAAAGCACATATCAGCTAGTGTCACATTTCAAAATGCACCATGACAAAAAATACATATTTCTGCTAAGAATACAAGTGTGTAAACAAAGGTATTCATACCATTTGAATTTTTATATATTTTATTATGTTGAAACTACAAAAAATATGTTTAAAAAAATTACTGTTTCCAAGTTACTGCACTGTAAAATAGGAGAAAAATTATGCAAACTTCCTTAAAAATTGTTTCCCGATAAATATCTATTGTATATTTATGCCTCTCTTGACCCCACATGGGCTGGAACCTCTTTTTCAATTTAGCACTAATAAATATAATGAAGTAAAAATTTCAGTTGATATAATACCAGTTAAATTCATCTAGCTGTAATATTCATATGTACAATAATGCCTGAAAAACAAAAAAAAGGCTGTAATATGTTTCTGTAGTTTGACATTTTGTCATCTGTTCTGTTTGTTTCATATTTTAGAAAACTTAGTAACAGCTTTCTTTGAAACACTTCTCAGTAATGCACCAGTGGATTATACTTATCAGAGCAAAACACACAGCTACAGTGAAAAACCGACTGAAAAGGTCATTCAGTCTAAAGCTTAAAAAAAAAGCCCTCCAGTCTCTGAGGTACATTTATTTCAGACATCAAAGGCAGACTATTGTGTTGTAGCCTTTAACGGATGCTGGCATCTATACCTCTGTCTCAATTCTAAAACTGCCTCGATTTTGTGTAAGATATCTCATATCACCAGATTTTTGTCAATAAGTGTAGCAACTGCCTTAGAAAATTATTCAGACCCCACAATCATTTTCACATCTTGTTGGGTTATATACTCAACTTTAAAATGTATTTGTTATTGGTGTCACAAAGTTAAGGTGTTTGCTTCTGGTTTTCTTTTGGATATTTTACTTTTGAACATTCACTGTAATCTTTTCATCTTGCCATTCTGCTCCACTCTCTATTACTGTAGTCTGATGATTTTGTTTTTTATTTGATATATGATGACAAGCAAAGCACACATACTTTGGTGGAAGCTGCATGGTTTTAGAAATATTTCGCAGATAATAGCTGAAAGTGTGCTGTGTATTATTATTTTACCTACTTTATTTATACACATACATAAATTTTAATGAATTTGCTTGAGTAAGTGGAATAATCTGTGCAATCTAATCTCTGTTTAACTTAATGTTTTCTGGGAATGGCTCAAAGGTTTGTCAGAGAAAATTGGTGCACAAGGAACCTTTATTCATACAAATATTCTTCCGCTGTAACTTAACAGATCTTAACTAAAGTTATGATATACAAAAAAATATATATGTCCATTGTGCACTCCTGTGAAATATTTTCTCATTGATGGTTTATATTAAGTAAGTGAGTAATATTTATTCATATAGCATCTTTTACAGACATAGAGGTCACAAAGTGCTTCACAAAATTACAATACAAATAAAAATACATTTTCAGTCACAAAAGACATGGTCATAAAACAACCCTTAATCTACTAGAATTTAAATGCTTTCTAAACAAATAGGTTTTCAGTTCATAAACAGAATCAAGTAA